GCTCTTAATGAACTTTCAGTTTAGCAATCTACTGAACACAACATTAGGGTTATTTCCAGTAGCCAGTATGTGAACTTAAAATCCTTGTAAATGTAAGCATTACAGTGCTTTTTTAATACAAAACTAACGTGAGGGTGGTACACCACACAAAATCCTCAGAAAAGGCAAAACAAAACAACACCACAATGGCACCAGCTGTTACTCTGCATAATTTAAGATATAATAGTAATATAACTAAGGGGTTTTTTCAAGACAAAATTATTTGAATTTCATGAACATGACATATCTGAAACAGGCCTGACAAGCAGCCTAGAATACTAGATGATGGATTGCTGAGAAACATAATTTTCACTTTAATAGAACTATGGCATGCAAATAATTCTATCCCCCAGTGCTTTGCTGTAACAGCGAATTTAGTCCAAAACTACAGCCTTGAGAATCTGAATACAAATCTATCACCATAACTGGAATGAGTGCTTCTTTTGAAGGGTAAGGATTCCCTCTGCATATTAATTTGTACAGAAACGTACAGTACGGCTGCATGGACTCTGGCCAGTATGCGTCCCAGCAAAATGCCTGTTCTTGGTCCAGACAAACTCAAAGGCAATGTTTTCTTTGACTTCAGCTGAGGCACAAAAAGGCCAATAAGTACCCAAACGGTACTTTATTAAAATGACATGCACACTGTCTAGTAGTGCCAGTTACTCCTGTCCACTTAAGGGGAAAATCAGTAACACGAGTTTAGCATTTTGTAATTACCAGTGAACTCCCTGCTATATGTATATTCTGCTCATCAACGTAAAAAAAATAGCACACGAAAAGCACTTCCTTCAGAAAAATTGAACTTAAATTGAGTCAAGTTAAAATAAAGTGAAACAATATATTCGACATTCTTGTGCTATTCCAAGAATAAAAAAACCTCTTTGACCTCTGACAAAAAAAAAAAAAAAATCAAGAAAGACAGCAAATTCTTTATCAGGTGAATAAAGAAAAGGAAACAGTAAGATTCCATCCTTTGATATGTCTGTCAATAAGTTTTTTCACCTAAACTGCGTTTGCAGGGGAAAAGACCATTTGCGATTTAGCTGTTCCCAGCATTCACAGTTTAAAGTTTGGAGTCTGAAAAACTTCAACTACTAAAATGTATAAGCCTTTTTAAACTTACGTATTTTATTCTAATAGAATTTAAGTGTATACCGTATACATTCCTTAGTCTACTCTTATTAAATTTTGATGTTAAACAGAAAGGGGAAACCATGTTCAACTAGATTAATTTATCTCCAGGGAGTAAGGACACATTAATAATTGAGATAATGGTTTCATATATGTTGGAATCAAGCGTGCCTTTTCACTTCTTTATTAGAAAACACATTAGGGGAAAATTATCTCATTATCATCAGTAAGACCTAATTGTTGAGAAAGTCTCTGTTTTCTTTGCAATAGCAAAAGGATTGTTCTCATTACTTCAAAATGAAGAAAAAAAAAAGGAAAAAAATCAGAAATATTATCAAGCAGTGCTGTAATAAACGCCTGCATTACCAAAGAGAGTGTTTACATAATACACCCAGTCCTGTTTTTGTTTTAAACAAATCAGAGTTTATTGTATTTTTATAAAATACAAGCAAACCCTGGATTGCATAGAAGTGGGCCAAAGTGGAAAAAAAAAGAACTACAACTAAAAATGACTGATATTTTTGGCTTTCTGAAGGTCTGATCTTTCTGTAAGTTATAAAAAATTATCTTGGCTGATTGTGAGAGAACTCTATAATTTCCCATGAACACCCACAGGTGTCAAGGCATGTTGTTAGGTAATGGAATGGTATATAACTTACTCTGAATCGTCGTACATTATGCTGTATGGATTACACGCAAAGCAAACACGGAGTGCATGGTGGCAACACTTGTGCAGACAGACTGAAGCATATTTCCATAGCGTTGAACTATACATCAAACACAGTGCTTCTGATGTTTCCCACAACAAAGAGAATAAAAAAAGCTGCCAAATCAGGAACTATACTTAAAAGTATTTGCAATAGCCCTTCCATTTATCTGGTGTAAGCTGAAAAAAAAGCACTGTAAATGAAAATAAATATATATCAACTTTACTTTGCAGTGCTGCGAGAAATAATATCAGAATGCTGTTTACTGTACTGAGAAGCAGACGTTCTCTCTATCAGGTCCATCAAGACCTAATGCTGAATAGGTGATCTGTGGACACACTTGTATTTGCAGCTATCTTGAAAAAATCAGTGGAAAAGAATTGACTAGAGCCACGGCTTCATAAAGGGAGAATGATGAGACATTCCTTTAACATTCACAGTGATTTAGTCAACACTCCTGTACCACATAGACCAAAGGAATACAGACTATTCAGGTGCATACTTTCAATTGCTTTTATTTATTTTCGTAGATCAGCTTTGTAATATCAGACACACTTTCTGATTACTTTCTTTTGCTATCCTTTTTCTTTATTAAACATTAGTTCTCTGACAGATAAAACAACAAATTCAAAGTCAAAACCAATGAGAAACGGCCAAAGCTTTTAGCTAGAGCTTAGAGTATGTGATTCTTTGCTAACAGTTTTTGCTGTTAAGACAAATAATCCAAGACCATGAGTCACCCACAGTATCTCCACCAAAAACAAAAAAAAACAAAAAATTAATTATTATTTTTAAGATAATTCACTTAAAATACACACACTTTTTTTTGCTAGCCAACAGGAAATCTATGCTGTGTGTTAAGAACAGAAGGGCAAACCCCCACAAAAAAACAGCTGACACCCATCGATGGCCTCAATCTGGCACATTTATCAGTACTATTTCTTATTTCTGTTTTACATCTTTTGCTTTGCTTTTAGCTTTTCCTCCAACAACCTTCCTTCTTCCTTTGCTTTAAAATAATTTTTAAGTTAATCTGAAACTAAACTAAAAAAATTCTTGCCTATTTAAAAAAGATATCATCAATATTTGTAACTTGCGTAATACTGATTCACAACAAAAAAACCCACATGATAATGTAAATATGTAAGGCTAATGTAAAATTCTCTCACTCCATTTATTTTAGCTAACTTTCAATTTTTAACTAACCTTCTGATCTGGTAAGCTTATTTTATTATTTTATTATTTTACTGTTTTATATTCTGTTAATTAGTACTGTCTAAACCACAAAACCCCTCTTAACAATGAAAACAATGCCTCCAAAATCATTATGGAGTGTTCCCTTAAAAAGTATTTGATTAATAACTTATCCCAAAATGCTGTCATTGTAATCAGAGGGCCTTGGTAGGAACAGATGTAAGTCAGATTTATTAATATCTGCCACCCAAATGAACTTCCATCCCCACTGAAGGTAGCAACCAAACGCCCAACGACTGCAAGTCATCCACTTTTACTGGGTACATTTAGACGTGTTCTGAGACTGATCTTTTACTCTTTAATGAGAAAATCTCCCTCTTGCCTCAATGACTTTTGGGTAAACACTCTGAAACAAAGACCCTGATGTGGTATTTACTGTTTGTGTATAGGAAACGCATAGGAGCCCCTACTCATAGAAAGAAGTCATGCATATTAGATAGTATGCAAAAACAGAACATAATGATTAAAAGAGGTAAACATCAGTCCCAAAGAGCTGACAACCTAAATATTCACAGGTTTTCTGTGAACCAGTGCTATACACAGCATGCTGGCTCCACACCACTAAATATCTTTTAAAAAAAAATTCGCTTTTACTGTACACCCACTGAAGACAGAAAAAGCACTCTTTGCATCTTCATGGACTCCTTGTTGAGTTTCTAATCAGCAAGGATGTCCGCTCATATTCTGAAGATTCGGGTTTGGTCTAGATGAGTAAATACCACCCACAGATTTACAGGCACATTTCTACTGAATCTCCACAGCAGTTACTCTTGAGGCGAGCAGAAGCTGCAGCTACGGAGGACTCAGCAGAACTAAGCAATAACACCTTCCACCACAAAGCAAAGAAGAAATGAACGGCAAAAGACTACGTAGACAGCAGGCTGATTCTGTAGATAGGAAGTAGTGATACACACATAGAGATTACACGTGTTCCCTACTAATTATTATATCTGTGTGTAAAATAAGCACATACTGTCTTTTCTTTCTAAATTGACTTACCACAAGATGCTGTTGTTAGCATCTGCATACATACTATATCTAAGCACAGAACTCCACTGCTTCCCTGGAGAAAATGTACATGGTCATGAACAGTAATAGCCATTGATGTCCCTGTACGACCAAAGGAATACAATAGCGGTTTTATGACGTCTTCTGCCAAACCACAGTCAGTGTTCATCGCAAAATAAACCAAAGTATCACAGCCTGAATGTTTTCATATCAATTATCACTGTTATCCTCTCTAAGATGGTGACAAATACAAAAAAAGAATGTCTCCAGAGAGCTGAGAGCGGCTTTCACACAGAAGCCCTGAGAGCATCACTAGGGGAATGCACGGTATGTGCAGGGCCGGAGTTGAACTAGACTGCGGACAAGCACTGATACCTTCACCGTGCAAACAGCGGGGCTGTAGAGCAGACTCCCGCCCTTGTGTTAGCAGGTCTGTAGGCCACAGCGGTGATGTAACTCGCTGTCTCGACCCACCCGTGCTGCTCAGACTAAGGCAATATGGCTGGTGCTGTGACCCGAGACCTCCGTAAGCCTCTGTTACTCAGGTCAAAACGTCAGGAGCACGGCGCGCTGTGACCTCCAGCCTCCTCCAGCCACCTCTCCCCATGCCACGCCACAGCACCTGCAACAACCTTCTCCTCCTGCGCAGACCAGTGGGATCTCCGAGACGCCTGCTGGTTTTCTGGCTGCCTCGAGTGTAGCAAGGCTTTTTCTCGCACTGCCTACATTTTCAAATCTGCCCGCTCGGCTTACCTACATTGGCTTGGTTTTCTTTCACGGCTAGTACTACATGCAGTTACACTCAGCATCTGCTCCAAAACAACCAAAGCTGACAAGGAAGGAGAGAGGACGACTTACTTCCCAGAGGTGCTGCGTATTCCTGACGGCTCCCGACTGGACCTTCTCTGGCAGGAGCAGGACGCCCTGGAAGGGCCCGATCCAGGTGCCTTGCTGGATCCGCTGTGCCGCGCAGATGCCGTAGGCCAGGCCGGGCACGGTGCTGGTGCAGAGGCACACCTCCCGGGGCAGGTCCCGCAGCCACTCCGGGATCTCGGGCGGCGCGCGCCTCCTGCTGCTGCTGCTGTTGCTGCTGCTGCTGGCCACCACCATGACCGCCGCCACGGGCAAGGCTGTGCCGATCCCCCTTGCTTTCCATTTCACGGCAGCACTGCACTCCTACGCACCGCGCCCTTTCGCGTGTTCCTTAGGATGGCCTCCCTGCAATCGCCAAAGCCCTTAATACGAAATCCCAAAGGCTGAGCAGAAACCCTGCAGGCGTTCTGCAAGCCTAGTGAGTTGACAGACCTGCCAAGACTCATTTCTTTTAACACGGTTTTTTAAGACTCATTTTCTGACTAATAGAAACAGCCCATTTAAACCATCCCAGCTTGTTTCAGTGAGACGTTCTAAAACACAGCCACAGTGCCTCACAAGTCCCCCTCATTTGCCTTACCACAGTTCAGCCCAAGGGTTTAATTGGAGAAGGATTTAGTTTCATCCTTATGTTAAATGAACGTTCACTCTACTTTTTACGTTAACATGTGTTTGCATGCCTGTCTGTTTAGAAAATAAAATAAATACAGCAGAACATCAGGAATGACAAATCAGAGCGTGCATGGATATTTACTTCCTAGACAAATCTAACCTTTAAATTGAAATCATGTAGCAAATATTACTGATTCCTAGCATGCATTTGAAAATTTTTATTGAACAGGAATGCACGTTCTTCGCCTGTTCCGTGGAGCTGAGGCTAAGAACAGAAACAGCATGTCTGGTTTTGTGAGCGTCTCCCATCAAACAAAGCAGTTTGTAAAAAAGTTAATTTCCCTAACTGCTCGTAATAACATATGATGCTTCTCTATTTTGGGAAGATCCTACTGTGATTTTTCTTTTTCTGAGCACAGAAAATTCTGGTTAAATGTTTCCACTGCACACTATTGCACGTGCCATGAATGTACAACTTCCAGGAAAATGCTTCATGCTCAGGAAATCCATTTCTCTGGAGGTATGCTGAGTTAACGTAACAACAAATCTACTGAAATAGGTTACCGTCTTCTGCACGTTTCACTTTTGTAGCACAGTCAAGGTTTTCATACAGATTTATTCCAGAAATACAAAGAAAAAACAATAACTATGTCACCGTACTCATGTAGCAAGTCCTAGATCTTTCATCCAATAATTTTATACAATCTACATCCATTCTTACAAAAACAAAGTGCAGCATTCACCGCAGAAGCTGGAGCTTCTTGGTCTAAGCCATGTACTTAGACTTGCTAGATTGCCAGTAAGATCAGTTTCAGTTCTTGGGGGACTGACTCAGCCGTTCTTCTTTCTAAGGTGGATACTCTATGTATTACATAGGCCTTTTTACTACAGAGCCTTCAGAGGAAAACCTTCCCTTCTATTCAGTAAAAACCTTCCTCTCTGTTCAGTAAAATGCAAAAATCATGCATTCAGCAATATGAAAATACTCCAAAAGTTATATGTGGAAGCCAATTTCCCTCAAAACTGTTCCACCTTCGAGCCTTGCAGCGTCCCTATGCGGTGCTCGTCCCTTCGGGTTCTCCACCCATAACACCAACTGCAGATCTCAGCAGAAAGCAAGGAAGGCAGCGCTGTGCAGCACGGCGCATTGCTGCGACGGGAGCTGCTTCAGAGGAAGGCCGGCCTATGGAACTCAGCTTGCGCCATCGCCGAGCTGCCACCAGCATACGGAGGACAAGCACCCTGGCAGGCGGGAGGGAAGGAGAGCCTTCGCCCTCACATTGCAGCACGCCAGGGCAGCAACAGGACAAAGCCACCTAGTGCAGACTGTGCTCATACTGGCAAAAAAGATGCCTTTTGGCTGGAGGGTTAAAGCCTTTCCATAAGAATGTAATCCCTGTCGCCAAATGGCTCATTCGTTGGGTTAAGCCGCAACTGCAGAGAGGTTTTTGCTCACTCAGCCACGTCAGTTAGAGGTGGCTGGAGGATGAGATTTGCAGGACCCCAGGGAAAAGGCTTCTGGCTAGTCCTTAGAGAAGGTTACTACACAGCAAATATTCCTACAGCCTTTCCCAGGCATAATGAATAAAAGGCAGCAAGTACATGCCGGGGCTTTTTGTTGTTCATGTTGTTTCCACAGCTAGCTTGGAAAGTGAGGTATCACTGCAACATCTTTTCTTTCCTCTTCAAACCAGTCATCCAGAAACCCCATGGTTTTGGCACATCCAGTGCTCTCAGGGGCTGCACTGGAGTCTAGCATTGGAGGTCATACAGGAAAGGATCTCAAATAGGAAAAAAAGAAAAAAAAAACCCCCAACCCCAAACAGGCTGGCACGTGAGTACACTTTAAACAAAGCCGGCATCTTACCACACAGGTTAGAAAGAAAATATCTGACAGGAAAACCAAGGGTTTAAAGAGTGGATGCTTAACCATGACATCAGGTAGCACCAAGGGCAGGCTCTCGGATCCGACATGTTTGCACTCTTTGACCATGTTCTAGACTTGTAACTTTCTTTCCAACTACCTGCTTATTGATGGCTTCCTTGGAGACACCGTGCCTCTGCAGCAACTTACATTAAACACACTAAGGCATCTTCACGTCTCCACTCAGGCAATTTGTGTGTCAATTCCCTGCACCCTGCCACCAGACATGCAGAAATTTTCATACACTCAACTATTAGTACCTGCCTAGAGCAAGGATTTATTCACCTTGTACCAACAATAGGTGTGCATGAGTGTGGATAAAACATTTTATTTCTGTCTTTTCAAACAAAAGAAATTAAGAAATTGACGAGGAGTATAAATGAATCCCGTGCCACTGTCGTTTACCCTTACAGAAAGTCACACATAGTGATACTCATTTTCCACAGTCCAAAAACACTGGTAATGTCTTCATGCTTGGCAGCGGCAGCATCTGATCTCCTGCTGTGTTCCTTTCTCTTTGTCCTGCCAAAGCTGAAAATTTGGAAAATGGGACGACTCCTGAAACTGTTTTGGCTTATGACTTGTTGATGAGAGGGAAGGAGTCTGTCTTTAACTCTAAGCAGTACCAAACTTCTTCTTAGTTGCCCACTTTATACATCTATCTTCAGGTTTTATGCAATTGTTCAAATAAAACCTAAAAAATTACTCGTAAATGTTGTAAGGAGTAGAAGCACTACTAGACTTATTTTACCATGCCTTGAGTAAAAAGGCGTCTTTTCCCCTTCCATGACTAACTTCTGGGTAACGATACGTGGAAGGCTTTGACCCCAGCACACTTTCAATAACGTTACACCACCCTTTTAAAGACAGTCCCTGTAAGCAGCGGATTCCTCTGCCTCTGAGGGCAAGGGAAGAAAGTCCTTAACATCAGATAGAGGAAAACAGAGAGAGCTTCAAGAAGACTTGCACTCTGTCCCACCTCACAGAAAGGACCAACAGCGTCATCTTCATGGATACCGCAAAGTAGGATGTGACAGAGTGCACAAACTTGCTTAATAACACATGGAAAAGAAGGGGCTTTTTTGAGAGGGTGAGTCCTGTGGTCCACTGACATCACTAGAGTCTCCAAACGGGACAGCAACTGTTAAGACCCCGGCGGGTGTGGGAAGCTCACGTGAAAGGGACACAGTGGGACAAGTGTGAGCTTTCCAGAGGGCTGCCACACGGGGCAGCAAGGAGAGACGCGCTGTGCGCTTCCTCCTGTTTTGGCCTCAGAGAGCTGCTGTGTGAGTACGGGCCTCCTCCAAGGACCGCTGAAATTAATACTTCACCTGGTTTTAATTGTGTCAGGCAAGCCCCGAATCAAGACAAGAAGCAGCAAGAAATGTGAGAAAATTGAGGGATTTGCTGAACATGGAAAAAGCAAGGAGCACTGCAGCTAGAGCAGAGCATTTCCTGATAAAACCAGGAGATGCAGAAGGTAAGGTCGGTGGGAACGCTCCATTGCAGGCCCTGACGCAGCCGGACTCTTTGGAAGGAGATCAGTTTCTCACTTTGCATCTTCATGCTCTAGAGATGGAAGGATTAAGGCAAGGAAGAAGCAAGAAAAAAAATTAAACTGTTTCCTAGGGGAGCTGTTTAGAACAGCTCTTTTGGGAGGAGTGCAATACGTTACCGTTTATTTGCCTCCACAAACACACACGCAGCACAACGCCAGCACTGTAACTCCATGTGACTACTCTTAACAGTGCTAAACCTAAGCAAAAGGGAAAGGATACACCATTGCCCCCAAAATACGATTCTAAACACTCTCCAATGTAAAGAACACTAGTACTGCATATTTTAAGGGAAATCTGAGCAGGGAAAGCTTTTGTCAGTGAAAGGTAGGGTCCAACACAGCATTTTAACCAGCGAAGCAGCTGTAACAATAAATGAAATAAATACATTTTTGTCTTGGCAATAATACGCTTCAAAGGTGCAGTTATACTGGATACCTACAGCTTGCTGGTATTGAAAAAGGGTGGCCTCTGACCCCCTGCTTCATAACTCACCACCGGCACGCAGGTACACGGTGCAAGCGGCCGTCCTTTCGCACGGCGTTACTCACCAGCGGGTGTAAATCACTGTGGTCGGGCCCGGGTGCCCAGCTCGGAGGGGGGGTGGGCTGCGTGAGACAGAACCCCTCCGTCTCTCTGGGGTGACGGGTTCCTCGTGCCCCAGTGCCCTCATCGACCAGCCTGCATCAGCCTCTTTTGGCGGAATTAATCGTGGTTCCTCGCAGACCGACTAACTTGAGGCAGGCTATCGGGCGGGGGGG